GTTGTTAAGTTTTTTAAAATACCCTCAAATGATGGCAAATTTTTATGCTTTGATGTTAGATTGTTGTGGAGTTGTTTTGTTTTTTCCTTTTAATCCTTTAGTATTAAGTAAAACACACTTACAAAATACATAAAACTTACATGTCCAATTAACAAATAATCTAAAAGCAAATGCCCATGTAACCACCACTTGGCTCAAGAAGTAGAATATTTCCAGTACCCCAGACACCCAACTGCATGTCCCTTGCTAACCTCAGCTGGCTCCCCTCTCTCTTAAAGCTAAACATTGTCCTGACTTTTATAGTAATCTCGTCCTTGATTTTCTGTATACGTTTACGACATATGTGTGTGTAGATTTTGTTTCATTTGCTTAGTAGCCAGGAGTCATTCCAGACCATGTCTGATTAACAAAATGGTAAGTGAACCTGGGTAAGGTGGTTTTTATCATAAAATAAGGTGTGCTCTAAAACAATAAGGAGTTTCTTCTGTTTCATGAGAGTGAGGCATATTGAAAGAAATTCCAAAAATATTGTGTATGGTTACATTACTACAGGGGTCCTGGTATAGTGCTATAAAATAAGCACTAGACTGCTAACCAAAAGATCAGCAGTAAAAACCCACCAGCCATGCTTCCAGAAACCCTATACAGTCCCACTGTGAGTTAAACAGCGACAACACTACTTTAAGGACTGGTCATTTGAACATGCTAATTCTGCTTGTCCGTTCATTGTCAATCTTGTTTTTAACTTTTTACTGTGAATTAAGTGAAGAAGGAGCTCTGGTAGCATAGTGGTTACAAATCAGGCTGTGAACCACAAGGTCAGCAGTTCGAAACTATCAGCTGTTCCGCAGGAGAAAGATGAGGCATTCTGCTCCTGTAAAGATTAACAGCCTCGGAAACCCTGTGCAGGGTCGCTATGAGTCGGAACCGACTCCACAGCACATAACAACAACAACAACAAGTGAAGATTTACAGAGCAGATCAGTTTTAATTTCAACAAATCATACCCTTCATTTCATCTCAATGATTGCAGTCCCCTCCATGTAACATCACTTATCCCTGTGTTTCGTATTTCCAGTCTTCCTTCTTTCTCTATCTACCCTTCGGAACTCTGTCGTTGAGTAAATGCTGCCCTTTTGGTCTTGAATGGTTGACCATTCTGTAGTGTGAGTGCCTTACTAGTGTTGTTTCCTTATACACCTATCTACTGCTTGACTGAAAATTGAGCCATGGAGATGAATTCAGCTCCAGACCTGAAGGGTCACCAGGCACCATCTGACCAGTAAGCCTGGTCTTTTTTATTATTATTATTTTGAGTTTTGTTCTACATTTTCTCCTACCTTATCTAGCACTTTCTAATGTGATCCCTTTCAGAGCAGCTGGCACCATCTAGGTCTTCTAGTCTCAGGTCGTGGATACTGATGTTCATGTGGTCCATAGTCCATTGGACTAATTGTTTCAGTTTTTATCGCTCTTCTTTCCTCCAGACAGACCAATAATTGCACTTTAGGTGGTCATTCATGAGTTTTGTTTTGTTTTTAACTTTTATGGTTTTATCTAGCACAGATAAAACTCACAAATGGGCTGTCTATTCATTTTCTTCACTGTGCAGCCAGCCTGTCATTGGGATTGGTGACTCTGATGGCTTTGTAGTTCTTGGAGGAAATGTTGTGAGCAGTCTCTGCACAGTAAGATTGTTGTATATCAACAGCACTAACAGCTCTTTGACGTTGTGGACCAGGAAGTAACAGAAGCCACTGGGCAGCATGTGTTTTGTTTTTTTGTTGCTCCCCTAACGAATGTTGGGCATTAAGATCTAGCATTTAAATCTTCTCAGTACCCTGTTATGAATGCCTATGGGCTTGTACCAGTTACACTTAGTTTTGACATAATGGTCTGATTGTGCCAGATAAAGTTCCTGACCCTCTTTTTGATGATCTTGGGCTTCACCAGGGGTCTTAGGGCAGCCATGAGCTTTCAGGATCCCAGTCACTGCTCACCAAAGTAGGATGTAGAACATTGTCTTTGTGTGCACTATATCTGTCACTCTTGTTACTACTTCAGAGTCTTACCTAGTATATGGCTGTGTCCTATTAAACAACATTTTTCTCAACTTTTATGTTTTATTTTGTATCTTCAAGGTGGCCCTTAGTGTTCACCCCCAAAAATATTTTTGGTGAAACCTGTATGCACTGTAGTTTGCCATGGCCTCTCTGTAACACAGTATCTTCATGTAAGATCTTCCTGAGAGGAGGAGAGCATTACCGTTCTAGGAGATGCTGTATTCCTCAATCTAGGAAAATTGTGGCATTGACCTTTCCCTTTTTCTTTTCACCTTAAAAATTTCTTGTCTGTCTGCCACAGCTAACTCAGGCGACCATTTCTAACTCTACAGTGGCCTCCTCCAGTCGTTTTTTTTTGTTTTCAGAGAATATCAAATTCTCCATTTTTATATTAGAAAGAATTCAATTATTAACTGTTTAGAACAGAAATGTTCCATGGGTTCAGTCAGCCAGTGAGCAGCCGTTGCTCTGTGTGAGCCACTTACACGTGAATGGTTGGTGGTAACACTGTGCTTAGGCCAGAGTTATAGTTTAAGTTCCCTGTGGAGATGGGTAGACTAAAGTCTGAATCCACCAATGGTATACAAAATATGGATATAAAAAAAAAATACCCAAAACTTGGAACCATGAATATAGCAAAAACATTCAAGAGGCAAAGTTAATGAAAACTTTTTACCTATAACCAAACATCTTTCGGGAATGAGTCACTGAGTTTGGGAGCTCAGGACCATAGTCTCAGGGGTGTGTAGTGACAGGGGTCTTAAAAGCTTCTGAACAGCCATCTAGGGTACAACTATTGGTCTCTTTCAAAGAAGCGTGAAGAAAATAAAAAATTCAAAGAAACAAGGACCATGTGAACCCCCAGCCTTCCCAACCCTGAGACTAAAAGCACTAGATGGTACCCAGCTACCATTGCCAACTTCTCTGAAAGGGTCACAATACTGAAACAAGACTGAAAAAAAGACCAGGCTCACTGATCTGATGCATACTGGTGGAAACCGCACCCCCCCGCCCCACACACACACACACCCAGACTGTGGCCCTTAGTCACACTCACCTTTAACCCTGGAGCTCAGCTTTTAGCCAAAAAAAAACAGACAAGGTGAACTATAACAACAGGGAGATATTGCACTCCCTAGAACTATCAACCATACAAGATCAAAAGGCAGCAGTTAGTTGCCCAGGGAGAAAGCTCAGAAGACCGGAAAGGAGAACAAATGAAGACAGTGAAAACAAGACAGGAGGTGGGAAGAGTACTGTTGCATTACAGTCAATGTCATGAAACAAAATGTATATGAATTGTTGGTGGGGAGAGCAAGTTTGCTCTGTAGTAACACGCGAATCACAATGAAAAGTTAAAAAACAAATTCTGTAAACTACTGCATTATGAAATAATAATCCCATTGTTGTTAAGTGCTATTGAGTCAGTTCCAACTCGTAGCGGGACCCTATGTAGGGTTTCCAAGGAGCAGCCTGGTCAGGGTTTGAACTGCTGACCTTGTGGTTAGCAGTCACCACACCAAGACTCCAGTAATCCTGTAGGGAATTAAAATGTGAGGGTAATTTGAAAGCCTTTTATAGTCTTGCTTAAAATGCACTGTAGAAAGGAGTGGTTGGGAACTCTCAGGGAGGGAGAGGGGCTGTGTGCTGGCAGCCTGGGGGGAGGGGGGGGCAGGTGAGTGGGGTGTACCCTTTGGTAGTTTGATGATGCATGCAGGGGATTGTGGTCATTGCAATGAAACAAAATATGATAGGATGAATGTAAAGATAGTGTTCACCCATGTAAACTAACACATAATTCACAATAAAAAAAAAAAAATGCATTGTAGAGACAACAGAGGTTTTTCTTGAAGCTGAAAGGAATTTGCTAATTTTTGCATACCATCCAGTTTCTCTTTCTGATTTGTGGTAAAGAAGCACACAGTAGTTTGAACATTAGGCTAATTTTTGTCATTTTATTTCCATCAGGGTAACACCTGGGATCCCCATGAGTCAGAATCTACTCAAAGCAGCTGGCCTTTCTGTTTGTTTTTTTTATAAACTATTAAATGGCATTTGCCCTTCCTGATTGCTGCCACCTGACAGTGACTTGATGTAAATGAGAAGCTGGGTGCAGAAGTAACAAGGACTTTAGATCATCTGCACAGCAAGCAGGGAGTGTTGGCATTGGAGCTCTGGAGAATAGGAACCACGCAGGAACTCAGTATAACCCATGGAGGGAGTCGGTCCTGGCTCCGGCTCCGAGCGACATCATATGTAGGGTGTTCTTGGCTGTTGTCTTCACAGAATCAGGTCGCCAGGTCTTCTCCCACACAGCCACTTAAAGCTGTTGTACCACCAGGGACCCTTTATCATAATCCTGTTGTTCCGACTCCTAGCGACTCTGCATGTGGATTCCGAGGCTGTAATCTTTACAGGAGCAGAAAGCCTCATGTTTCTCCCTTACCAGAATCCTAGGAGGTGTGAATATAAAACAACCTGGGATAGAAACTGCTTGGGAATGTCCACCCTCAGCTTTTGCTTCTCAGCACCGCATTCACAGCAGTCCCAGGAACAACAAAACAGGTTGATGTCAATTCAGCATTCCTGCTGAATGGGGTCAAGAAAATTCAGTGGTGTGGCACTATAGGATAAGCACTGGACTGCAAGGTCTATTTGAATCACAAGGTTGGCAGTTCAAACTCACCAGTCGCTCCTTGGAAACCCTATACAGGGTCACTATGAGTCGGAACCAACTTTACGGCACTTATCAACAATCAATTTTAAAGGATGCATTTTACAGTTCTTCTGATGTGACAAACTTTTTGTCTTGTTTTTCAATCTTCCCTGAAGGTTAATACTAGGTAGGCATTAAGAGGATTAGTTAACTTTTTAAGTAAACTATTAAACCTATTAATCATGAAATTAACTTTTCCACCTTGATAATATCTTTTACAGGCTCAGAAAAAGACTTTGACTCAGACGTCCCCCATCTCAGCTTCCAAGACCACAGATGGCCTGAGGCCAGTGCAGATCCCCAGCCTCCTGAGCAGCACATTGCCAGGTCAGGAGCCTTTGTCACTCACGATCCTCCCAGGACCTTGAGTGGGGGACTCTCCACTCCTGCCTGATTCTGTTACAGCCCTGCCTCCACACAAATAATGTCCCATGCTGCATTATTCTAAGATGCCATCAACTATCAGATTGCCATCATTTGATATGCTTCTGAAAAAGAAAATATTTCTAATCCAATTCTGACAGTATTGAAAATGTGCTTCTTAGAAACAGCAAAACCTAATATTATGTAATATTATATGTAACACATGGGATTTTGTAATTATCCTCATGTTGCTTTATATATGTGTATTTGGATCCCCACCCCCACCCCCCAGACAGAAAACCTGTGGGCTGTTTCTTCCATTTTTTTCCCTAAGGCTTTGGAAACCCACACTACTCAAGTAAGTACTAGACAAACAGCTTGAACATTCCAAGTCAGTCCTTTGACCCTCCCTTTCCGTCAGTTCTGAGTGTTTTGAGGTTCTGTAGAGCCGACATATTTATTGCATAAGGCTATTCATCAGACTACAGATAATCCAAAACAGTAACATTTGCAGCTTTTATTTCTTTACTTCCATTTCTTTATTTATATTTGTTACCTATTTACTTTCTATCGAAATAAAGCCCATTGCTATCGAGTCAACTCTGACTTCTAATAACCCTACCCCTGTCTTTAGAGCTTTTCAATAAATGCTCTGCCCTGCTCTCCTTCCTCATAGCAGCATCTGTGGTAAAAGAAACCCCTCCTAGAGTGTTCAGTAATCTGTATACATTGGGCTCTAGAGGCTAAATGGTGAGCCTGATAAACATTGTCTCATGTATTCATTCTAATAGGGCAGGACTCTGGAAGCAAAGTTATGCCAGTATCACTAGGAACCACACAGACACAGCAGGACAAAGGAGTGGGATCATCTCCTGGCCAGCCAACTGTGCAGGTAGAAGACTTTCTGAATAATTTCTTCCTAATGTTTAATGTTATCAAATGAAAATATAGGTATGTCATCTTCTGCTTGGTGGTTTTTATCTAGCATTGTGTGTGTAGTTAACCCACAAGGTGTCCACAAGATTTCAGGAGTGTGGTCCCTTAAAACCTTCTCAGTGGGCCAGACCTTGTTAGTGTTTATATAGCTATGTCTAGTCTATTTCTGATGTATAAAAATTAATAATATAGCAGCAGCCAGCACATAGTAGGCACTCAAAAATGTAATTTACTATTGAACACTGTGGTTCATGGTCATGTAAAAACTGGATTGATTCTTAGTTATGTTGAGAGATTTTTGGTTTTCTGCAGTGACATCTAGGAGTGTCTGAAGTAGACCATCCCACTGATCTTTTGATCCAACTGTGACTTATAAACCACAAAACATTTCAAACCACTGTTCTAAAAGGGAAGGAAAAAATATTTGTTCTCAGATTATTGTCTTAGTTTTTTCATTAAACTTACAGTTTTGCAATGTAAGAAAACTTGTATTGGTCTAGGCCTGCCTGGAAACCCAGGGAAGGATCTGGCTAAGTTGTCAGGATTCTGATGTGAGACATATTTGTTTCCTTAACGTGATGGGAGAAATGCCTCACTAGAGCAACTTGAAAGGTTAGATAAGAAACTTAGGGGACAGTGTGTTTATGCTTATGAAGGAGGAACTGCAGAAAAGGAGGGTGAAATGGTTACCCAATACAAAGGATATTGTCAGTGTCAATGAATTGTACATGTAGACACACTTGGTTTGTTGTGCATCTTTTGTGTGTATTCTCTACAGCAACAACAAAATAAAAATTGTTTTAAATGTTAAAAATAAATAAATAAATAGAAAAAAGAAATACCATACTAGATCACACACATAAATTGTATATAATAGAAACTCAAAAGCATTTGCTATCTTATGTATCATCTAGAAGGTGAACTGAGTGTGGTACATTTTGATTTTTCAGATATTATTAATTTGATACCGACAAAACTATTTCTTCAAAAAATATAATAAATATACAGAGGAAGTTAGGGATTCAAGTTCAAAGACATAAACAGAGTTCTAATGAACTGACAGCTTTTTATAATCTTAACATACAATATAAGTTTGCTGTATAGGGGAACTATTAACCTATTTGGCATCCCAGTGTGGCACTTAGGATAAAGCACTTGACTGCAAGGTCAGTTTGAACCTCAAGGTTGGCAGTTCAAATCACCAGCTGCTCCTTGGAAACCCTATACAGGGTCGCTATGAATCAGAACCAACTCTACAACACTTAACAACAACAACATTAACCTATCGATTTTATTTTTAAGCAGACAAGTTCTTTAGTCTTAAATGTTGTGTGCTTTTGATAGGAAGTTGAGAACATTCAAAATGTAGTGCCATGGATAAATGTATTCTGCTTCCTTTGTCTATAAAAAGAAATAATAAGAGGTATCTGTTGTCTTTAGGTGGACAGTCATACGGGAGGACAGAAAAGGCCAGCTGCAAAACAACTAACAAAAGGAGCTTTGTGAGTACCTTTGGAAATGAGAAATTAAATTTTCAATATTTCTGGGCTTCCTACACTTCAGTGGTCATAATGCCCCACAAACCTTATATTAATAGACTTTGAAGCTATTTTCCTGTTGGTTTTTTTTATCAGGACATATAAGTATATCAGATATTGTTGGACCCTATTGTTTGCTCTTTTGTTCCTAAGAAGAACAATTCTTTGCATTTGTAATATACCAGAAACCCTTTGAGTGGCCTAGGAATAGCTGAGAAGCATGGTTTGATAAACTTCAAAATCTCGAGCAAAAATGTCAGTATGGGTTCATTCCACCAATGATCAGACATTGAATGGTGGATAGGATAGAGGCACTGCTGGTGAAGCCAGAGTCCTAGGTGGAGTCCCCTGTGGAGATGGTCGGACCCAAGGCTAACTAACTCAATTGCTGGCATATAAAACTGAAGTACAAAACTTCTGAGAGCAGCTCCATTGTGAATCACGCCATTTCTGGATGTCATGATTAGATTTCCTAACATAAGTTGGCACTGACACAGAGCTCTCTCTTTTAAAGCATCCTCCAGCAGTTACAGAGGGACCAAGCCCATGCCGTGACCCCTGACAAGAGTCAGTTCCGATCACTAAGTGATGCAGTGCAGAGGCTTGTCTCCTACCATGTGTGCCAGGGCTCCGTGCCTACCGAGGAGGATCTGAGGAAAGGTAAGCAGGCTCTGATACCAGGTCCTCTCCTCTGGATGCCCCCAGAGATGAGCAAGAACCACACAGACCTAACTTGTTCCAAATATATTCAGCTTCCCAGTTCATACTTAGGATTGTGACTTTTTCTCCTCAGTATTCTGTGAAGAGATACTGAAATGTCATAGGTCATAGTGTTGTATTGACATATTGGCGGGGGGGGGGAGTTGTTGTTGTTGTGAAGTGCCGTCGAGTTGGCTCTGACCCATAGCAACCCTGTATAGGGTTTCTGAGAAGCAACTGGTGAGCTTGAACCACCAACCTTGCAGTTCGAATGGATTTGCAGTTCGAATGGATTTGCAGTCTGCCTATACAGCAGCCTACAAGCACAGGATGTGGCTGGAGGTTGGAGGCAAGGGATGGGGGGAGTGCACGTCTCCCTTGTTCTGTGCCCTCCTGGTAGCTGGGGAATGGCCAGTCCTGCCATTGCCAGCTCAGCAGACAGTGGCACTCCCTCCTGCGCAGGCTTCACTCTGCCTGGGGTCAGGTGCCAGGCATGCTGTCCCTGCTTCTGGAGGCCTGTAAACCTGCAAACAGAGAACTGCATTCTTACTTCCAGTCTCTACCACATCCACAGGTGGCAAACAGGTGGTGAGTACCTGAGAACACAACCTACAGTCACCAATTCAGTTTAAGTACACCATCACCACAATGTCTCAAACAGACAATGTCATCTCACATGAAGAAACAAAAATGAGTACCTCAAACAAGTGGCCAAAATACAGAGTCAGAAAATATAATACCAGAACTACTTAATAAGGAATTTACAAGAATGCTATTTAGGTCCCTTCAATGGATTGAGCCCTGGTGTGGCGCTGCGGGTTAATGCATGGACTGCAATGTCGGTTTGAAGCACAAGATCTGTGGTTCTTGCTCATCAGCTGCTTTTCTAAAACCCTATGCAGGGTCGCTCTGGGTCAGAACCAGCTCAACAGCACTTAACAACAACAATAGATTGAGAGAAAGATTGATGAATTCAAGGAGAAACCAAAAAAAATTTTTAGAAGAATTCAGGAAAACACTACAAGAACACTCTGACAAAATAATAAAAAATTAGAAGCCATTAAAAAAACAGCAATTAGAAAGAAGATTAAAACTAAGACTTCAGAAATAGGGAGTAAATTGAAAGGGCAAAGAAGTAGAATTGAATCAAAAGAAGGCCAAATTACTGAACTTGAAGACTAATCTCTCAATACTCATCTTCAAGAGGAACAATCAGAAATAATAAAAAAAAATCTGAAGAAAGCCTCATATTTATTTATGTGGGACACTATATACAAGAATAACTTAGGTGTGATTGGAATTCCAGATCAGGAAGAGACAAAAAAAAAAAAAAAAAACAACCAGAGAAAATGATCCAAGAGTTGTTGGAGATAAACTTCCATAACATCAAAAAGACAAGAAGATAGCCATTAAAGAAGTTAAATTCCAAACAGGATAGGTCGCAAAAGAAAATCACCAAGACATAATCAAACTTTTCAAAATCAAAGACATGGAAAGAATCCAGAGAGCAGCTCAGGGAAAACTGAAAACTTACCTATAAAGGAGCACTAATAAGACTAATAAAAGGTTCCTATCTTTACTACTAAGGAGCTCTGGTATCATAATGGTCACAAGTTGGGCTGCTAACCTCAAGGTCAGAAGTTCGAAACTACCAGCTGTTGTGCGAGAGAAAGATGAGGCTTTCTGCTCCCGTAAAGATTTACAGCCTTGGAAACCCTGTACAGGGTCGCTATGAGTCGGAACCGACTCCATACCATACCACCACCACCACCACCACCTTTATTAATGGAGTCCTAGTGTGGCGCTTTCAGATGCTCAAAAACCCGAAACAGGGTTGCTATGGGTTGGAACCAACTCGGTGGCACTTAATAACAACAACCTTTACTAATAAGGTTTATAACTTAGTGAAAGAGAAATTTGATTTCTCAGCAGAAGACAATAGAATTACATATAAAAACCTGAAAGAAAAAAATTGCCAACCAAGAATCATATACTCAGCGAAACTATTCATTAAGTATGATGTTGAATTTAGGACATTTCCAGATAAACAAAAATTAAAAGAATTTGAAAAATCAGACCAATCTTACAAAAAATACTAAAGGAAGTTCTTTGGACAGAGAACCAACAACAGCGACTGACATATATGTATGATCATATCACTCAGAACACAACACAGATTTAGAAGCATTCAAAGTAAAACAAACCTTAACAAGACTCAAAACACGGACTCAGAGATACCAGTGTGCAACAACAACAAAATAAAGTAAAAAGAGGGAATAATGTAGTTCCAGAATTTTCATATGAAGTGGAAATCAAGTAGATTTAAAGAAAATAAATAAACAAACCTAACAGTAAACCTAAAAGTAGACCAAGCCTTACTCCTAGTCCTAGCCTACCCTACCCATCAACCATAGTCCTAACCATTCCATTAACATTAACTGAAGTCTTAGGCCTTGCCTAGTCATAGCCATAGTCCTGACCCTAACTCCCTCCTCCTGTCAACCCCCATTCTACAACCACCCACCCCCAAAATAAAGAATTGGTACACCAAGACTGAAGGAATTGTATGTGTGTACCTTATCTTTTTCACTGTTATAATCCTTAGTAAAAGTTGTTGTTAAGTGCCATGAAGTTGGTTCTGACTCATAGTAACCCTGTCTAAAGATTTCCTAGGAGTTGCTGGTGGGGTTGAATCGCTGACCTTGTGGTTAGCAGGCCAGTGCTTATCCTATAATGCCACACCAGGACTCCAAAGGAACCTTACTTATAATCTCCTGTAAGACCTAGCAACCTACTATAGTGCCTGGTGTATAGCAGGCATTCAATAAACGCTAGTTCTCTTTTTTATTGGCTATGTAATGCCATATACATGGGAGTCCTGGTGTGGCGCTTTAGAATAAGCACTGAACTGTAAGGTCAGTTTGAGTTGCAAGGTCGGCAGTTCAAACTTACCAGTTGCTCCACAGAAACCGTACAGTCACTATGAGTTGAAACCGACTGAGTGGCACTTAACAGCAACAATGCTATATACAGTTATATACACTAGGGATTAGTAAACACTGGTGGTACAGTCATCAGACACTAAGCTGCTAACCAAAAGGTGAGAGGTTTGAATCTACCAACTACTCTTGAATCTGCCAACCTTAACAAAAAGGTTAAGGTAGGCTAGTGCGATCCCTGACTCAACCTAGAATTAGCCCATTATAGTACTTGCCCTGCTGCATTGCCTAGGTGTAAAATGTAGTTCTAGCCCTAAGCTTACCCCCACTCCCAAACCCTGAGACATCCTTAGTGACTCTGCTGCTCCAGTTCCTTCCTCAGCTGTCATCAGGCTTGTCCTTGTCCCCTGGCTGAGGTCTCTGACCTCAGAATACTGTGGACTCTGTCAGCCTATTGTGTGCTTCTCCGGGGTGGGTGGGGGTGGGGGAAAACTGGACCAAGATATAGCTATAACTAGAGGTGTGAAGACTCAGAGTTGGTGAGTTCGTTAGCAAATGAGACCTTTGGAGACTAGCAGATAAAGCACCCAGCCACAGGACCATGGCAGACAGGATGTCCTGAACTAGCTGTTTCTTTACATAAGACAGTCTGCCCAGCCAAGGCATTTTTCATACGATTAGAAGGAAGGTGGTGGAGGGTTAGATCATCTAAACAGCAGATCATTATCTAATCATGGACTTTTGTTACCAGACTGTATTCTTTCATATGCTGTGATTAAGGGTATTATGGTTTGGGCTTCCTAGTTAAAGTTGTAATAGGCTAATGTTCATGAGTTTCTGTGGCCACACACCATTGATTGGATAGTGAGAGAAAGCAGTTGAGGAGCAAAAGCAGTTCAGGAGCATGATGTTTAACCGAGGAAAAGCTAATCTGAGAAGAAAAAATTGCTGTAGAGAAAGTGTGTTTGATTATGTTTGGAAGAGGAATGCATTTCAGTCTTCAGAGATAAAAGACCTAGTGGGTGATATACACTCTCTTACTATTGTCTCTTTCTCTCTCTCTCTCTCTTTTTTTTAAGTGGACAATGAATTTGAAACTGTTGCCACTCAGCTGCTAAAAAGGACCCAAGCTATGCTTAACAAATACAGATGTCTACTCCTGGAAGATGCCATGGTAAAATATGTGCTTCCAAGCATTTAAAAAACAAACAAACAAACAAAAAATACTCCACAGGTTACAGCTACTAATTCAGAAAGAAGTTCAAGAAATTGTATCTTCGGAACATAGTGTAGAGGGCACAGGTATTTAAGACTTCAGAAAAACACATGTGAATGTTGCTACTACCTATGTTGTTGTTGTTAAGTACTGACGAGTCAGTTCTGACTCCTAGCGACCCTGTATAGGGTTTCCAAGGAGCAGCTGGTGGGTTTGAACTGCTGACCTTGTGGTTCACAGTCCAGTGCTAACCTATAGCAGCCAACATTTGCTGCACTGTTCACATCAATCTCAGTACTATTGCTTTCTTGTTTAATAAATGGGAAAACTATGGCTTGAATGGCTCAGAGGTAGAATCCTCACTTTCTATGCAGGAAGCCTGACTTCAATTCCCAGCCAATGCACCACATGCACAGCCACCACCCACCTTTCAGTGGAGGCTACTATGTTGCTGTGATGTTGAGCAGGTTTCAGTGAGGTTTATAGACTAAGACAGACTAGGAAGAAAGATCTAACATCTAATTCTGAAAATCAATCCAGGAAACCTTATGGGTCACAATGGTCCAATCCATATCCAGTCATGGAGGATGGGACAGGACCAGGCAGTATTTTGTTCCGTTGTGCATGGGGCTGCCATGGGTTTGGGGTCAACTCAACAGCAGACAGAAACAACAAGGGCTTTGGTTAAAGAACTCATCCAAGATGATGTAGCTAGTACGTTTGCAGTTAGGATACAGCTAGGATACCCGGACCATCTGACACTCCCTAGTCTACATTCTGATGCCATATGCTGCCTCTCACCAACCCAGACAGTACCTAGAGTGTACAGTTTGGTGGGTTTAGTATACTATCACAGTTATGCAACTAACTACTGCCACCATCTAATTCTAGAGCACATTCATCACTCAAAAAGAGAAACTAAAATTAGTTTTGAAGCTTTAGCTAATAAGAGAAGGAAATACATTCTCTCAGGAAATTATAGAAAGGCCAAACTTACTCTGAACTTTAATAAGCACTTCAAAATCATATAGGTGCTAACATATATTTAAGTAGTCTCTTATAGTCACTTTCAATTTGAGATAAAGTTTGAAAATGTGTCTTTGAGAGATTAGTTGAACTATATATACTATACATATATACAATATGGTATAGGTGTGTATGTGTGTCTTTACCAGGGGACTTCAGAAAGTTTGTGGGGAAATACCATAAACTATTCATTCTATTTTCCATGAACTTTTTAAAGCCCCCCTGTATAAAATGGTGTAAATATTTCCATATAGCCTATACACATCCTCCTGTTAACTTTAAATCATGTCTAGATTATATGTAGATAGCTCTTTACCTCACTCTTAGCCTTATAGGGATTGCTTTGACCACTTGATTGCTTTTTTTCTCTCAAATCCTGGATGCAGAACCTACAGACACACAGGATTGACTGTGTATGTTTATACATAAATACATATATTGTTGTTGTTATTATGTGCCGTGGAGTCTTCCGACTCATAGCAACTCTGCGTAGGGTTTCTGAGGCTGTAAAGCTTTACGGGAGCAGAAAGCCTTATCTTTCTCCCACGGAACAGCTGGTAGTTTCGAAATGCTGACCTTGTGGCTCGCAGTCTGATTCATAACCACTATGCTACCAGAGCTCCTTATACATATATTAAGAACCTTCAGAAAGTTTATGGAAAAATTCCATTGTCTTTTAATTCCATTTTCTGTGAATTTTTTTAAAGCTCCCTCATATATAGGTATGTACATAAATCCACTTAAAACTGTGCTTCAGAGTCTGCGATAATTTCATATTCACAGTGACTACTAAAATAAAATTCTGATAAATCAAAAAGAGACTAGCTCCATCATTTGCAAAAGGTCTCTAGGTAGTACAAATGGTTTACATTCAACTACTAACCCTAAAGGTTAATGGTTCCAGTCAAGAACCATCTATTACAGTCAAGAAACCTCTATAGAACAATTCTGCTCTAACACATGGGACAGCAGGGTCAAAATCGGTAACACCCAACAGCAGTAGCATTTTTGAAGAATGGGCCATTTGGCCAGATATTTTATATCTTCCTTGAATTTTCATGTTAAATTTAAGATCCAGAAATGCAGTTTAAGATTTTCTTCTGTCCAGTAAAATCTAATATAAGGAAAGCCATAATAAAAAATAATTTAAGTATTGCTATAGAACATGAAATCTGAAGATTTTTTTTTTTTACCTACAAATGACCCCAGCCAGGCAGAGCTTAATTCCATCTTGTGCCTAGGTTTAAGTGTTCATATGCCAGTTTTTCTGGAGTACCTCATGCACCTATGGCAGCTGAACTACTGGAGCTAGAAGCAGAATATATTTAAAAGTGAGTTGGGACCACTTCTTCCAGCTAGTCCTCATAGGAACTTTCCTGGACACACCCCCTAGTGGTCACCTGGTTGTGATGTCATACCCTGAGAGCCACAGAGACAGTGTAAGCTTTCCTTTCTGCAATAGTCCCCTTCCTGCTTCCATAAGCCCAGCATGTATGTGACACATTGCTTTGTCAGGCATGGTTGTGGGAGGAGATTCCTTTTTTCTCTGGCTTCTATAATCTCCCTCACTCGGGTGAACCATGGTTGTCTTTGTCTTGTGTTTACTCTTGTCTAAGACTTAATAAAAAGTCTTTATAATGTTTGTGTATTTGAAGACTTGTCTCTTTTCTCCCTTACAGTAGTACAGATAACAGAATAGGAGCCCTGATGGTGCAGTGGTTAAGCATTTGGTTGCCAACCGAAAGGTCAGTGGTTCAGACCCCCAAGCTGCTTTCAGAAGAAAGCTGTGGCAGTCTGCTTTGGTAGTGTGCTATAAACAACAAAGCAAACCCACTGCCGCTGAGTCACTTCTCCTCATAGCAATCCTGTAGCACAGACTAGAACTGCCTCATAGGGTTCCTAAGGCTATTCTCTTCACAGAGATTATGTGGGTTTGTTTTTGTTTATAGTAGAATATAAAGTAAAAGGTCATCCTAATGGAAACATTTCCAAGTTTGTTAAGTACTCACTGCCATCGAGCCAATTCTGACACTAACACATGGCCTTGTTGGGCTGCCCCATAGGGATTCCAAGGCTGTAAGTCTTCATGGAAGGTAGACTGCCACATCTTTCTCAGAGCATCTGGTGAGTTTGAGCTGCCCACATTTAGATTAGCATCCCAACACTTAATCCATTGTGCCACCACTGCTCCTACTATTGTTAAGTGGGGTGGTTGTGAGAAAGGTGCACAGGAGTGTGTGTAGTAGCTACCACTTGTGTGCAGAAGTAACAAAGAGTTGTATGTGTTTATATGTTAAGAAGCTGCTAGGCATAGGATACCTCTGAGAGGTACTAGGTGGCAGGGGCTCTACAAAGAAGCAGTTTACTTCTCACATATCCATTAGTGCCTTTTATATCAGTGTGTAAGTGACCTGTTAGAAAAATACATCACTTTAAAACTTACCCTATGTGAACAGGATAAACGAAATCAAATGGGACATGACTCTCAGTGAGGCATCCTGTTCTCATATCTGGTTGCTTCATTTGAGAAGTTTTTACTTGATGGAAGGCATCTGGAATGACCAGACTCTGTCCTTTTCAGCGGATCGACCCCTCTGCGGAGATGGTGATGATTGATAGAATGTTCAACCAGGAAGAAAGAGCTTCTCTGTCCCGGGACAGGCGACTGGCACTTGTAGATCCTGGTAAGAAACATCAGATTGGAAAGTAGGGTGAGCTACTGATGGCTGGCTCAGGAACGCAGGGGCCTTCAGGGGGACGGTTAGAGTGACGCCTGGGTATGAAACCTGAACGTGAAACATAAGTTCTGGGGAAGAAAACAAACAAACAAACTGGAATGAAGAGCAGTGTATGAGCACTCTTCGCAAATTTACATTCTACAAAATCTGAACTGGAATTTTACATTCATTTAATTGATGCTTTTTCCCCTTTGTAAACTGAAAATTCTCAACTTTCTCCCATTTTTTTGAGAACTAAATTAAGTCCTTCCTGTTGTTGTTGTTAAGTGCCATAGAGTTGGTTCTGACTCATAACGACCCTGTATAGGGTTTCCAAGGAGCAGCTGGTGGGTTTGAACTGCAAACCTGTAGTTAGCAGTTCAGTGCTTATCCTACAGTGCCACACCAGGACTCCAAGTCCTTCCTAGAAACAATTAAATTTCAACAAATTATTGAGTGTGGGGAAGGAGGCAGATCAGTAAACTGCAGTCCTTGTCTACCAGCTATTAAATTGTGATGCCTTAAGTACTTTTCTCTCTCCCCATCCATTCTCCCTATATTTTAGATTTCGTTCTGTACAGTTAAAAACATGTGTTTTAGATTTGACCCATTCATTTGCTTTTTAAGGAGCTCTGGTAGCATAGAGGTTATGAATCGGGCTGCAAGCCACAAGGTCAGTAGTTCGGAACTACCAGCTGTTCCACAGGAGAAAGATGAGGGTTTCTGCTCCCATAAAGATTTACAGCCTCGGAAACCCTGTGCAGCGTCACTTATGAGTTGGAACCGACTCCACGGCATACAACAACATTGTTGTCTAAAAAATACTTTTAAACCAACCTTCTAACAATTCATAAATATAAATATTACCCATATTTTCCCTTTCCTATAAAAGGAATGTTTGACATTTTTTTGTTGTTGTTTTTATTTTCTTCTGATCTGGTTCCCACTAATGTGATATTTACAGTTATAATCATGTTAGATGTGGTTTTGTATTCGGATTTTTTTCCATTTAACACATCTGAAGGTTTTATCATATTGCAACAATCTTCAAATGAATAGTTAAGAAATTGATACTGACTTGGTAATTTAGCTAATGTAGTTTTAGTTCCATTCCCCTAGACATATGGGTTTTTTTTTCCTTTTTCTGAATCTGCATTTTTTAAAAAATGTTTTGTTATGAATTATGTGATAGTTTACACGGGAGAACTATCACATAATTACATTCATCCTATCGTATGTCATTTAATTGTCATGGCTGCAATCCCCTCCATGCATCATCAACCAACCAAAGGGTATACCCTGCAAACCTGCCCCCTGGTCATCAGCACACAGCCCCTCTCCCTCTCCGAGTCTAAAGTCCCCAGCTGCTCCATCTCTCCACGTCATCGTCTCTGCCTCCATCTCTGGCATCACTGCTTCTCTGGGTAGGGTCCCACTCTCCGGTCTTCTCCCTTGATGGTCCCAGGGACCTCCACTCCTAGACTGCAAAGTTAATCACTCCCCTCCTTGCTACAAAATGTCTACCTTTACATTTCCAACTCTCACAGTCAGTCCTGATAACAGTTATTCACTATTGTAAGAGACCCATCCTAGACAGATTGGATACTACTCAGTGAGACTATACCTTCCTCCACGCCCTCTGGATCTAGATGGCTTCTTGAAAGCTTGTAAGCCAGTCACTTGTTGCCTTTGAAGCACCCCCGTTTTGGGTGGTAATGTCCAAGTTGCCCATCCCTGTCTACTCTGTCTATGGAGGGGGTGAGAATGATACTTGCTGTAAAGATTTGTTCCCTCTTTTGAGCTACTGCATCCATAAGTGTAGGTCAAGTTCATCAAATTGCATTAGATTACTCTTTTTCTTTTCCTCTTTTTTCTTCTTCTAGTTGAACTCTGATCATCCAGTCATAGAAGCCAGGTCAAGTGGGTATTATCTGCAAGTGTGGGTGTTCTTGTGCATATGCCCTCTCTTCTTATCAGCTGTATGCTTCACTCTCCACTCTAGTCCTCTGTAGCTATGTTGCTTACTCTGGGCCCAAGAGTCTCCAGATTTTGCCACATTGCTGGCTAACTAGGTCTCTACCTGGGTTCACAGGAGTCTATTGAACATTGTAGGGCTTAGCTCACAGCTTCATTGCTGTTTTTCCCTCACTTCCCCTTATCGGTAATGAACATGGTCACCAACCAGAGCATGTATTCACATTGAGTCTTGGAAGGGGGTTTGCTCTGAGGGGACCTGACCACTTACCTTGATGTCTCCTGGGTGAGCAACTGTCTTGTTCTTGTAGTGATCAGTCGGTCTGCCATTATTGTTTTGTACTTTTCCTGTTGGTCTTTCTTTCAAGAAGTACCTTCTGTTCTTCTAGCCACTCCAGACTGGTCTGCTTGTCCTTTCAAGTGGAAATTTACCATCTCTGATGATTCTGATTTTTCCTGTGAAGATTATAGCCTAGGAAACCCTATGGGGTCACATAGGTTCACTAGGAGTCACAATGGACTGATGGTCATGGTGATGTGCCGTGGAGTCGGTACCGACTCATAGCAACCCTGTACAGGGTTTCTGAGGCTATAAATCTTTACATGAGTGGAAAGCCATGTGTTTCTCCTGCAGAACGCTGGTAATTTTGAACTGCTGACCATGAGGTTAGCAGCCTGATGCGTAACCACTTCGCTACCAGAATGGAGTAGACCACACATAATGACACTATACCTAGCCTGAAGGAAGAGTCTGAAAGAAATGCCTTAATACATAAGAAGGTCCTCATATCATCCCCCAACCTGAAATCATCCTATTGCCTTTTTGGCTAATTGGGCTTATGGGTTAACCCTCCCACTTTGTCACAGCCCCACCACATGGGCAGGGACAGCGCTTTCCCTCATCTCTACATGCTACCTACAGAGCCAGTGTCTGCTGGATGGAATTGCCTTTGTAAATTTCAAGAGTATATCCCTGAGAGCTCCCATTGTGGGATTTGGTGAAAATTTTATGTTCATCCTATACGTATTCTTTGTGGTATTCTAGATGTCATCACAGCCCTATTTCATTTCCATTACTTCCGAAGTTAACAATTTTTCTGATCTTGCATGACCCCCATCTTGCTGACAGTCATAGCTCTCCCACATCCCTCTATCCTGTCAAGCAGATTGCATTGTGGATTAGTGTTGTCCATTCATTTTGTGCTCCCAGCCAAGTGCAGCTGGTATGCTGGGATCCCTTACATAGCTGTGTCTAGATTAACTAAAGCCCCCATGCCCAAAGAAAAGTAGGGGTATCCATCCCCCTAGAGCCCCATTCCAGGGTCATGGACTATAAGCGAGAACCCAGTACCTAATTTCTGTTTTCATACTCTTTCAAAGTGGTCATTAATATAAAAAAAACAAGTTTAAGATAGCACTGAGAGATCAGGACTAAAGACTAAGTGGAGCCTTTTATCCATCTGATTTTCATGCATCTGCCTTTTAAGTTTTTCATCTGGAAGTTGTAGCTCGTTAGCTGTTGTTAACATACATAGGATACCATCTCAGTCCCTGGGAGCTGCAAATGGTTAATGTGTTTGGCTGGCTGCTAACCAAAAGGTTGGAAGTTCAAGTCCACCCAGAGGCACCTTGGAAGAAAGGCCTAGCGATCTGTGTATGAAAAATTAGCCATTGAAAACCTTGTGGTGCACAGTTTTGTCTGACACACATGAAGCAGCTGTGAGACAGAATGGAGTCAATGGTAACTGATAACTGGTGTCAGTATCATGCTTCTGCATGTTCCTGTACGAGAAACAAGAAACAACTGACTCAGTTGGCAGAGTTTGGGGGGAGGTTTGCCCCAGGGGGATACCCACCTCACCTGACCCACTGAGGTTCTATCAATCAATCATATTTTCTCATTCAGTCATTCATGTTCTTTTTGCTTCCCATTTCTAGATGGCTTCCAGGCTGATTTCTGTTGTTCCTTCAAACTTGATAAAGCCACTCATGAAACCCAGTTTGGCAGAAGTGACCAGCATGGCAGTAAAACGACCAGCTCCTTACACCTGACGACCAAGGCCCAGAGCAGAGACCGAGCCAAACCAGGCATGGCAGAACCCACAAATCATGACCAATTTCATCTAGTGCCTAATCACATTGTGGTCTCCGCAGAAGGAAACATTTCTAAAAAAACTGAATGCCTTGGCAGAGCACTGAAATTTGACAAAGTGGGCTTAGTCCAATACCGGAGTGCATCCGAAGAGAAAACTAGCCGGAGAGACTCCATGAAGGCCAGTGAGTGCTCTCCCGGCCCCGAAGGACCCCGGAAAACCTCATCCAGACCAGATCATGGTCCTGAGAGCAAGCTCTCAGGTATAGCTGTAGATTCTCACTTGGAGATGACGTGTAACAATTCCTTCCAAGACAAAACTCTGAGGAATTCTCCAAAGAATGAAGTTTTACACACAGACATCATGAAAGGATCAGGCGAACCCCAGCCAGACCTCCAACTCAGTAAGAGTCTAGAAACAACATTTAAGAACATTTTAGAACTCAAAAAGGCCGGGAGGCAGCCCCAGAGTGACCCCACGGTTAGCGGCTCTGTTGAGTTAGATTTTCCCAACTTTTCACCAATGGCTTTGCAGGAAAACTGCTTGGAGAAGTTCATCCCGGACCACAGCGAAGGCGTTGTAGAAACTGACTCCATTTTAGAAGCAGCTGTAAATAGTATCCTAGAGTGTTAATAGCAACAATCGACCC